TCTACTTAAAACACGCCCAATTTGAGGTCCTGGGCCATATCATTAATATCCAGATGGGTCTACTCAAAGATGCTGAGCGATACCAAGGTTGAGCTCTTGGTTCTCATTAATTTTGTCTTGGTGTTCATTCTACAAAGCAGACCAAAATGGGCAGCCATTTCTGTGTGCTTTGAAAACCCTGGAGTTGATTCTGCAGGTGCTCCTCACATGAATAATTTAAATTTTGAGAAGCAGAAGGCTAGTGAAATAAAATACATTTAGTTTAGTAAAAAACTTCAGTGTGTGTTTGTGGTAGAAATGGATCAGTATATTGGCTGGTAAGAGGTGGAATGAATCTCTACTAGCTTTTTTCATTCTTATATCTTAAATAAAAAGCTTTAAAAACAAGTGCAAAACTAAGAGGCTCTTTTAAAASTACACAAAAACATTCTTAAGCTGCTACTTGTAAGCACTTTCTAAGCTTTTCTTTTTGTAATCAGAGGACTAACTGATCTTTTCACAGAAAATTCCTTGTAATTTCTTGTGCTTTGTAGTATCTGTGCTTTGAAAATACAAAAAGAAGGGATAAACTTTTTCCCCTTTTCCTCACAGGAGCTCACTTAGGATTTTTCTTTCTTTAAAATATTGTGGCATTTTTTCCTCTTATCATGTACGGTGTCTCAAGAGCTACATTAAGTCCAAGTCCCTTGGCTTTCCAGTTTTGTTCTCTGAATTCTTTAGAGCGTTTATCTGTGCCATACAAGCAGAAGCTATATGCAGTGATTTAATAAAAGAAAATAACTATCTATTAACATATGTAAATGTTATGGAAACTGTTCCTTCAGGCTCTGTGTGGCAAATGCTTCCTAGGATCTTCACGGTTTGTTCTTGCCCAGTTGCTCAGCTCTTGGCTTTCCAGTTTCCATCTCTTCTCATATCAATGCAAGAAGGGCTGGAGGAGARAAGTTGGTGATGATTGAGATGCTTCATTCCGTTCCTTGACCCACTAAGAGCATTTTGGGCATCCCAGTCATCTCTGTGCAGGTTTTGGAAACTCCACCTGAATCTTACGCTCAGYTTGCATCAATCCTTCACTTCCATAAGTGGATGTTGACATCTTGRGTCTAATGACTTGAGACCAACCTAGTGTGGCCTCAGATGTCCTTTCCTCTTGTGCGTAAATAGGGAATTAGTGGGAGATCCCTCCCTTTCAGAGGGAGAGGCCGGGCAAAGAATGACATGCGGAGAGCCAGAGGGTTTTGTGCTTTGCTGGGGCGAGAGGGCAGGAGTTGTGCCTTCATTTCTGCCTTCACAAAACTCAACTCCTTGTGCGTTTAATGCASTAACCTTCAGCCAAATGGGTAATTCTCAGGTTGGGATAGAAAGATACGGAAGTGACTCAAATATCTTTATTTGTTGGATCTGTTTTACCTTGAAATTTTAAATCAGCAGGCAAAAGCCATCAGGTCTACTTATATTTGAAAAGGAGAAAAGACAAATGAATGGGTAAGCAACAGCCATCAAGGTGCAGAGTGATGAGCTTCATTTACAGTCTGGTAGCTTTGGTTTTTTTTCTCTTTTCATGCTGATTTAAAACCTTGTGCCTAGATACTGGGAACGTGTGTAAGAAAGAACTGGCAGGGTCGCATATTCTGTGACCCTCAAAGTCTTTCTCTTTTTCTGCAATTCTGCCTGAGCTGGGCATGTTCGAGTAGCTAAAGCAAATGTAAATGAGAAGCAGGAAATACTAATGAGGAGACACATTATCCTGGCATATGGGAAGAGAGCCGACTGGCTGGGAGCAGGGAGTTTCTTTTGCAGGGGAGAGTTGCCAGGTGGGCAGAAGTCCTGGGATTATGGAGCAATGTGGGGGAAGGTGTGAGTTATTTGGGGAAGGGAGAGCATGGAGCTTCCCTTGGGTTGTAAAACAAAACCTGGACTGAAGCTTAAGGGCTGCTGTGTTCCCAGTGGCTCTGAGCTGCTGCTTGGGGCCTGTTTGCAATAGCAGTCGCTATCGTAAGGCACTGAGTAACTTCATAAACCTCTGAAAAGCTACTCAAAAAGGGAAAGGGAAATGCTGGCTGGCTTTTATGTTGCAGGGTATCTCCAAAGGACGGCGAAACAGCATCTTTTCTTCCTTCTATACTGGAAGTTAGCTAAAAACACCATTGAAGCCCTCATGAGCTGGGACAAGATGCTGTTTTTCATCTTCAAGCTGTGGGAGCTGTTGTGCTGTCTGGACATCTCTGTGAGAGGATCCCTGTAGTTAACAATCAAGGGTAGAGCTGGGGTAATTTATTTAGCAGGACTGCAGTTGTTCAAACGCAAGTCTCTGTGCCAGCCACCATTCCGTGCGCAACTCATAACTATGTGCCAAGGAAAGCAGCAAATAAAGTTTAAAAGGAGAAAAAAAAAAAACCCCATCACTTAGGAAATTCAGTGATGGAAAATCTCTGCTAGGGGAAGTTGTTTCACACTGTCTGTTGCCCTTTCAGACTAAAGTTCAGCAAACTGCAGAGATTCAACCATTTCAAAATCGGGTTCTTGGGCAGGAGGAAAGGGATGTTTCTGGTTGTGTGGAGCTGTCCCAGCGCTCTGCCCCTTTCCACATGATGCCACAAAGCGGTTTCAGGGTACGTGTTTTATCCATACCCCAGTTAGGGGCTGCCACAGCCTCAGTGGGAGCCTCTCCTACAGTGCAGAAGCTTTAGAAACCTCCGTTCTCTCATTCTGTGGTCCCTTCCACGTTGCATTTGTGATATCCAGCTCCCCATTTCCCTTACCTGCCCTTAAACCCAGCATCTACCTKTTTTTCCTAAAAATTTTCCTTAAAAAAATCTCCTAAATTTTCCTAAAAAAAAATTGGGAAACTTGATTTCTGCAGAGTTCAGCATCCTGAAAGCACAGCAGTATCATGTGGCCTTAATTCTGGATGATGGGTTTTCTGGTCAGGGAGTCGGTCACAGTGATGCTGGTCACAGTCAGCCCTCTGAGCCATTTCCTCTGGTTTTGGGAGTAAATACAGCAAAGGTTGTTTTCTTTTTCTCCTTAAGATCTGCTCACTCCTGCTTGGGAGATGGCATTTTTTTTTCTTCCTGAGTTTTATGGATTCAATTGCTCTGAATAAAGTTAAGCTTCRTGGCARATTTCGGAAAGTTATTTAATAAAGWCAACCTTGGGTTAAATAGCACTGCAAAGTAGCATGCTAGGAGCTCAAATAACAGATTTATACAACTCAATGAATTTAACAAGAACTCTAGACTTTGTYAGACTAATGATATTTGTCATGCTTTTCACCAGTAAGGGCAGAATTTCTGGGGTACTTTGTATTGCTCTGAAATTATCCAGACAACTGTCCATTGAAAAGTATGGATGTGCTGTATAGGGAATTGTATTTCTTGCTSTAGAACAGGCTGGATTTTACAGATTCAGTGCAGAATCACTGCAGCCAGCGCAGAAATAGCTACGTAATGATCCACTCTGCTAATTGCAATCATTTTGCAGGGGATAAATTTGCTGCAGCAGATTGTATTCACTGAGCAAGCTCAGACCCCAAGTTCAGCTTGAAAGGTCATGTTCTCATCAACACAACGAGCTCCATGGGACGACATAAAGTTTCTTATTAACCCATGTAGTAAAACAAAAAGTTTCACTTTATGCTGACAAGTAGTTCTGTTTTACAAGGGCAATCATGAATAGCTCTCAGAGATAGCATTGGAGCGCTGTAGAAAATTTAAGTGATGCGAAAACTTTCAGTAAAGTAACTYTAGATTTRCTATAAATATCCCCCTAAGTAACAYGTGCACATCTATATGGCTTTCTTTGTCCCCCTGCAGAGACATATGTCGCAGCAGTTGACACTGGTCGCTCTGCAACTCATCTGCTCGTCAGTCAGCTGTTCCACCAGCAGAACGGTGGTRAAACCCTCTCTCAATACCCACTTTACCCAGTTCTTCCCCCCTGCGATACATCTGAAGTATGAATCATTCCAGTTTCATACCTTTTAGTTGTTGTGTGCATGACAAAAGGTGCCCTGGATTCTCATAGATAAGTTAAACAGAGGTAGGTTTTTTTCTTCAGACAGCAAGAACAGCTTTGAACCACTTCAAAGCATGTTTAAATCCTTATACTGCTTCCCAGATAACTCATTGGTATCAGGCATGCAGAAGATTTATTCCAGTGATGTTCAACATACAGCATAACAGCAAACTGGTACTGTAAAATCATAGCAAAAGTGTGCAAGCAATTCACTGAAAACTTCAAGTCTCTGCAAACGGAGTAAGTTATAGGAGAAAGTAAGGAAGGATTTGGCATTGTGCATAGGCTTAGGAATTTGCATTATTGTACTTGGGGATYACATAGTGAACAGCTGAGGTAATCTTAAAGGAGATGCTAATTTTGCATTTTAAACACCAGAGGGTACAAATATCTACAGATCTATTTTAAACTTGGTACTTTGAAGAAATTTGGCTGCAGAGAAATCAGGCCGCCGGAAGAGAAGGTCTGTGGAAAGGCCAAGATGTAGGTTGTAACGTTGTAAAAATCACCAGGACGCAAGACTCTTAAAATGTGTATGGTGAAGACTTTTGAAACAAGTCATAGTTGTTTCAGATAGAGAAAAAGCTTTGGCTGAAGTCTCCCTATGGGGACTAGCGAGATGGTGAAACCAGATGTCTGAAACAAGGTGTTGCYGGGTCCTTTTTATCTGCAAAATGAAGGGTGCTATCTGCCTACTTGCTTTTAACATTAGGATTAATCCATGCATATTTGTGTAGCTTTCTCTTCCCGTGCTGATGAGTGCAATGATAAGGCCATGAGGAAAGGCCAGAAGTCTTGTGTTGAGTGCCTTGGCTGGTTGATGGCCAAAACTAAACCGGGAGCACCCTTTGAAAGAAGAGAACTGGCGAGGAAGAGCCCCCCAAATACTCTCAAAGCACGTCTGACACTACCAAAGAATAATGGCTTTTATGTGTGCTTAAGAATACCCTTCTCATCCTCCTTCTTTCTTTGCTTTCTCATAGTGAGTGTTGAAAAAGTGGAGCTAAAGGGACTGGCGCACAAGAAGAATGAGAGAAATGTTGAATATTCCTTTGAGGTGAGTTTTGGCGACGGGCCTTTTTGCACCCTCRGGGAAGGGAGGGTAACACTTGAAAAGGAATTAAAGAAATGCTCAGACCTCCGTGGTAGATCACAAAAATGGATCTAGTGGAGCTCCTTGGGGATGGATGTTAGTCCTTTTCTGTGTTATTTTGGAGTAGTCTTAAAATTGCTATTGTTTGAAATTCACGGATAACTCAGATGATTTGGTAGGTGGGATGCAGAGCTACAAAATTCACTCTGCTGCAGCCAGTGTGACCGAGTATGTACTTAGGAGAGCGAAGTAATTCATGTCACACACACGGAATGGGAATCTGTCCTGGAAAACTCAACCTAAAAAGAATTTAAATCTTATTCTGGACAAACAAGAGAACTTAAGACTCTTTGGGTAGAATTGTAACAAACGGAAGCCCTGTGCCTGTGGAGGAAGAGCTGGAATGGTCATTTTTCTTTGTATTCAACTTTGAGGGGTTTGTGAGAATGTGATGAATTGTTCAGATGCTCCTGCTCTCAAATATGACTTTGAAGAGTTTAGAAAAGAGCTATGTAAACTGTTCAAGGCTAATACTAGGAAAATGCCATGTAGTGAGAGACTTTACGGGAGCATGACTTAAGTATCATACAGAAGAGTTTTCAGAAGAAAAAGCTACTTTCTATTGAGGAGGYTGCAACAGCAAGAGGCATAACAGGAACCATTCACCGAAGAGCAAAGCCAGCCACACTTGAAGTGGAAACGAGAACAGTTTTTGGAATGAGAGGTTGGCCACAAGCTACCAGAAGTGTGTCCCTGCCTCGCTTTTCACTTGGCTTTTGGTGGTTCTGTTTATTAAAGGGTGAAATCAAATGATTGCTCCCAGTGTCTGTGAACTTACCATCTCRCTCTGTGAGAAGTTGTGTTAGTGACAGAAAAACCCAGACTCGGGGTTGTGCAAGGAAGAGTGACACGATGCTTTTCTCCCGCCTGGCTTGAGCAACGTATTCCAAAATGCAGACTGCAAAGCCCAGAAAATGTCTCCGCTTTACTTAATGAGGCACCCGAGCCAAACAGGGAGAGAAGCAGGATTGGGAAATGGAAGGCAGAGTTTCAAATATCTGAAGCTACCGCGTTAGATAGAGCAGCAGTTTTCTGTCTGCTCGAGACCCTGACAGCGTTAACCTCTGCACGACTCGATTCACTGATAATGTTCTGAACTGTCYGAATTCTAAGTATTCCAAACAGCAATATTAAAAAGCTTTTTTGAGGGTTTTTGCAATCATTGTCAGGCACATAACTGGGAGAACTCCATTGAAATGTTAGGATCTCCTGGACTGTCTTTTCCACTATAAACTCTTGTATAAACATTAAAAATTACTGTTAACGTTGAGGAGCTGCAGCATTTCATTGGTCAGCTTGTAAATGTCTGAATGGACGTTGCATAGTTCAGCTGAGCTACTAAATTGCTGTTTGCTGGTCTAGAAACCCAACTGTTCAGTGTTTTGTTTAGTAGCTTTGTTGCCTGGAATGGCAGGCCAAGAGCTAGAGCACTTTGGTGCTTTCAGCATTACTTGGCGTCRCTGTTGCCTGCACTTACAGTTCACGTTACTGCTTTTGTAAGTATTGAAAACTTGAACAAGTTATCCAAGGGGAGAACTAGAAAGGAAAAGAAATGGCTCCTCTATTTTCTGGAACTTCTGTGAATCCTAAAAAAAAAAAAAAATCTATGCCAATTCATCATGAACTTAAAAAGCATACGGGCTTTGTAAACCCAGAAATCGCCAAGCTTTTTTTTCTTTCTTTTCTTTTTTCCTTATTTTTTGTGCAACAGCTCTGCAGAGAGGAAATTCCTCCATTATGTAATGTATTTTGAAATACTCTCCTCTCGCCAGTCTTTTTGGCAGCGTTGTGGTGGCTGGAAAATCTTTGTGTATGTTTGCAGTTGTCATTGAAACTAGTGTCATGTGAGAGGAAAGCTTCCTGGTTCTTCAGCACAGAAACCCAGCTCCTTCCCATATACAACTGGTGGAGAGGCATGAACCCCCCAAATGCTTTGACCAGATAAGTCTGGAGGAACTTAACCGTTTACCAGCAGCACTAGCCAGGCTCTCTGGATGTTCTTGATGCCAAGAGAAGCCCGACTTTCGGCTCAGTAAAACCCATCATTTAGCAACCAGTAAGTGCCTCTGTGTTGAAGAATGGAATGACTCCATGCAGAAAGCGAATGGGAAGAGATGCTGAGCTGTTCCCTTTTCCTAGGCCATGTTCAAGATGGGGTCTGAAGAGCACAGCTAGAGCAGCAACATCCAGAAGGTTTTGCTTTTTTGACAGTGCGATGCTTTGCTGCCACTTTCAATTTTTGCGTTGCAGATGGAGTCAATTAATTAAAAATAGGCACTGCTGTGCAGCGCCGAGTTGTCCACGCTACACATCGGAGTCCACAAACCAGCTGTTTTCTGTAACAATAGGAAGAACAAAGTTTTCCATCAGTTCATAGTGTGGTTGGTAACGCAGGGTGTCTGCAGCGCCTGTGTAAACCATGAAGAGCTTTTGTAGGAATTCAGAAGAGCTACTAAATAAAAGAGCAGCCAGCATGAGGGGAGGCCTGAGCAATAGCGACTTGTGCCCAGAGCAGTTTTTCCATATTGATGCTGCACGTTACACACTCTCACAGAGTGGTGGAATAAACATCTGATACCTATTTTTGAGCCTGAGCTGTTAAAAAACCCACTGTAAATCCCTAACTACCATTTACTAAACTGAATGTGTTTTGGTTTTTAAGGTCCTGTGGTCTGATTCCTCAGTGACGCTGGTAACCAAATCTTCCATTGAAGTGACTGAATTTATTTCAAAGGTAAAGGAGTTATGAAGTATGCTTGGAAAATGCAAGGAAATTTGGTGCCGGGATGTAATTGGGTTCGAATGAGATTTTTCCAAATGTGTTGATTTAATGCAAATAGATTAAATTACATAAAATATTTCACCTGTAAATCGCTATGCCTTGAACCTTTTAAGAGTGGTTAAAAATAAAATGTTTTCACTGATTTTTCCATTTATAATACTCTCCACCTCTAGCTGTCTCAGCTGTATCCAGAGGAAAACTTGGAGAAATTCATTCCTTGCCTAGCTGGTCCAGATTCATTTTACCTGGAACGGAACCACATAGACCTGGAGCCTGACCTTAGGTATGATGTTCTGTTGTGTGCTTGTTTTTTAGCTTGCCACTTGGCTTTGCTCACAAAGTGGGAGAAAGAAGCAGGAAATGAAAATGTTACAGATGTTTTCTAAATTACTTTCAAGAGCTCAGAGTCCAATTCTGCAGATGTCATTCCGTGATGTTTGGCTAATTTTAGTACGTAGGAATTTTACAGAGATTTTTTATTCAGAAATAAATGTGGCCATGATATATTTCATTAAACTGTCTGGAGAGTTAATTTTTCTTCAGCATTTTGTTAGAGATAAGCAGAGAGCAATGGGTTTGCATTAGGCTCCAAACATGGCTAAAACTGTTTAAACACACGCACAAAAAAAAAAAAAAAAAGGAAAAAAATCAGGGAAAAGTAGGTTCCTGAATGGTCGTCTTTGTATTGAGGGATGGGTTGCAGGGATTTAAAATGCTTTGTGTATATCTTTGCAACCATTAAACTCTTGGTAGGTCTTAACAGTTCATAAATTTCTGAAGCTTTAGGTGGTATCTGCTCCCATTATCACAAGTTACCTGGGCATTAGCAGAACTAAACCATCATTTTGAGAATCATCAGCCATGCAAAGTTGCATCATCCCCTTCCTTTTACATACTGGAATAATTGCACTAGGATAATCTGAGGAGCAGCAAATATTTTCGGTTATTACAGTCTTTACCAGCACTAATTATGAAATGGCTTTTAAGCTACAAAATAACATTTTCAGAGCATTTCCTAAAAACCCTAGTATCTGCAGGCAACACACACATATGTCCCCTGTTGCTAGAGCCATTGTGGCTGTTGTTTTTCCATAGTCGGAGCCAGCAGGTGCATGCCTAGATTATTTTTAATGGCAAGTGGTGCTAACATTTCAAACAGTCCCTTCTGTGCCGCGGATCACAGTCTATGGAGGAGAATTAGGTAGGATGAGAGGGAATGCCAGTCACTTRCTGCTGCTGTTTAGCTAGCAACAGTCTCTACAAATCTAGGTTAATAGAGCAGCGAGCTGCATTTACACAGCAACGCCTGTATCTTAGGAACAGGGAGGCAGGGAGAAGCTGCTTTAAGTGCTACGTATTTGAAAAAGTCAGAAATGAGCCGTGAATTTACACGGTGAGAAGCACATTCATACGTGTGTGTCTATATATAGTTGTATTACTTTTCTTATCCCAAAGGGTTTTTTTTATTATTATTATATATAAAGATATGGCAAGAATGTTCTTTTTACAACTTTCTGTGTGTTCTCAAATCTGTAGGTTTGGCAAAAGAGAGAATCAAGCTTGCATGACAACAAGAAGTCTARTAATGTCCCTAGAACATGCTTTATACATTGCAAAGTTTGAGAAGATGACCATTTTTATTCCCTCAAAGAGGCACAGCAGTCCCAGGGAAAACGTGACATGTTTTATAGCCATCTCCCCTGCATAGCCAGACCCTGTATCTGCTCTTTATCTCAAAGAGAAAGAAATTAAACAACAGTAGATACAGCTATGCTTTATGGTCATTGGGTTTCACAGTTTGAGAGGAAATACCCCATTTGTACTCGCACCCCTTTTCTTTACAATTGTTCCCCATTTCGACTGCACATACTCTTAAATTTAGCATCTTTGRCTAAAACAGTAGCATGAATTTAAGTAGCATTAAGTCTAATTTGATTCAGAGTTTCCTGGTGTACTGAGCAGGAAAGGTCCTCAATGCCAATTTGTAAAAATATTTTGAGAGTCTACAGTGATGACTGCATAGGCAGCTGCAGTTCAAATATAACAGAATGGGGGCATTTGTTTGCTTTACATGAACGTGCAGGTATTTGGCACCGTTACCTTCCCACGTGGTGAAAAACGACCATGTCAGAAAGTTCTTCAGCACCTCATCACCTTCACAGCAACTACAGAGTTCAAGTAAGTTTAAATAACTTTTTACTTGCTTATTTATTTATTTTCACTGAACTGCCTTCAATAAATTGATGCTATATTTAACGTCTATTCTCTTCTTCTAGATCCTGGCAACCCCTCCATTTATAAAGTAGGAACTACACTGGGAACATCTGGAAGGTAAGACGGTTGGTTTGTGTTTATTCTGGTTGGTTGTAGAACCCTTTTATGTAGGTGATTATTTATCTTTCCCTGAATATTTATATTTATATTTGAGTCAGTACTGACAGATTCATCTGTGTAGTTCTTGCCATGCTGGAGATTTTCAGAACGTCTTGCTTCAGCATGTGGTCCCTCAGTAACYGCTAGACAGTAGTGGTTATAAAGCACTAGCATTTCTAGTGTTGTCATCTGCTCTTTCTTTAAATGTCTCAAAAAACAGGCCATGCAATAATAATAAATGCAGGTTGCTCAGTCTGGTTATCTTCTAGTCGAAKAGAAGACCTGGAGTGTGTCGATCACAAAGGCAACAGGACTTGCATAACAGACAAAAGAGTTTTGCAAATCCAACTGTAATGCAATCTTTTCACTGGAAATGCAACATAGAGTTCTACTGCAGCTTCACAAATAAAGCGTGTGAAAGATAATTAGCAGGGGACTGAGCTTTCTAGGCTTGTGATGGATCCTGTCATTGTGAGCAGTTAGGAAATCAGCAGTGGATGCCTGGTCTTGAGAAACATGTGTGTTCAAAGAAGCATTTAGGGAAGTTTTTTATGGTGTTAAACAGGAGATAAGATCAGACGCTGATGCCATGTTTGGCAAAGTGCTCTATGAAAACCTGTTCTAAGCAGCRTTTCTCAGAAGGCTCAAAATTGTGAGTAACTGGCAGCAAATCTCGCAGAGATGGATAATCCAGTGCTTACTGCACAAGTCATGACAGGCTCAACCTCTGCTTTCCACCAGCCGCGCTCTGTATTCGCCGGGGTGAATACAGCAAGTGTCCTCTCTCTATACAGCYCTGTGGGGCCGAGTGGGTTCTTGATTGGGGTACTTAGGTGGAATCCATAAGGTTTTTCCTTAGTGTAACACAAGTGGGGTCATCCCTAGCATAAGTCTCTGTGGATTAGAGAAGTCTAGAGGGTCTCTGTTGGGGTTTCTTTTTCTCTCTGTAGCACCTATGAATGGTGGTTTTCCTTCCAGAGGGAGGAAGGAAAGTGAGGAAGAGGATGTACAATGGGATGTACAATTTAGCCTTGGGAAAAGAGAGGACTCCTGCCTTTTGTAAAGCTTCAGCAAATCCAGAAACTTAGTCATTCTTAAGAATGACTCTTAAGAGGAAATTTTTGTTTTCTCCAACAAAAAAATAGAACCCTCCAAGGAGCAGATGCTAATTTGACAGCTCCACGTGTTAAAAAAACTATTCCACAGATTTGGGCTTCTTTTTAATAGTACAAAGTTCAACCGTGGCCATTATCTGCAAACCTTGTGTTTTCAATTACAGAGAGAGTAGAACATATGTTATCTGTGATTGCAGAGGGAAAACAGTGCCTAATTGGAAAATATGATTTACCATTTGCCATAAACTGTGCTGCTTTTGTTATGCCGTTGAGCAGCATAGGATTGTACAAATCTATAGTTGGGTTTGCTGGGTTTTACGGCAAATTCCAGAGGTGACGGATTTGTAGGAGTCCACGTTCAGCGCTCCACTCTCTCCACGTCCAGTGCATTAACCCAAATTCCTTGTCTTTTTGCAGACCTATATGTGGAGTGGCCGGCATTCAGTCTTCGCAGAGCCACGTGCAGCACCCGGCGGCCGCTCCGGTCGCGCTCCCGCACTGCTCCCATTCCGGAGGCAGCAGCTCCGCGCTGGCCTATCGTGCCCAGATGGATTCCTCCTCGCCCATGCTGATGTCTTCCAGCCCGCAGACCCCCCAGACCCAGGAGCAAAACGGCATCTTAGACTGGCTCAGGAAGCTGCGGTTGCACAAATACTATCCCGTCTTCAAGCAGCTCACGATGGAGAAGGTAGGGCAGGAGGCAGGTTGAGAAAAGGAAGCTGCTTTTTAAATCATGTCTATATTTGCCCGGCGTATTTGCACTGCAGACATCCACGTTTAGAACTGCAGAATTTACTGGCAGGTACTGTAAAGATTTGCAMTCTCTTGGAGCAATAATATTTTGATGAAAACTTCCTGGTTTTGATCATGTGCATGGCCTGGGCTGGGAGTTGCCACTTTTTTCAGGGATCTYGAGCATCCCGCTTGAGTGTCACTTGCTTTGACCCCCTGTTCATCCCTCTGGTGTAGAGTAAATAACTAAAATTTGTTGCTCTTCTGCTACTGTGTCTTGGTTTATTTTTCTTCCCATAATATTTAGAGATCTTAATATTTTTAAAAATAGAATGACAAAGGCTTCTGTCATGAGCAYTAGTGTGCGTGTGTACGCACACAATGTGAGATTTTTACTTGCTACAAAAATTCATCTGGAAAAAAATGGTCATTTGTGTATTTGCTTGGCCAGAATCGTGAGTGTTATTGATGTGTGCTGGATTCTAACGAGTAGATGGAAATACTTTGTACAGGATKTCTTCAGCTCCATCTGTAACAGCTGGGAAGTAAAATTCGTGTAAAAAAAAATCTAAAAATACAATTCCTTGCTGTATTTTAGCCTCGCACGCCCTCCAGTGGACAAAGTGCCTGGGTTAGGTCAGCACTAAATTGAGATAACTTTGTGGTGATTATGGTACGTCCTAGATACTAAAGTAATATATGTTACCAGAACTTTCCAATTGGAGTTTCTTCAGTGAGGCAAAATGGAGTATTTACCTTAAATGAGCTAGCAAAATTGTGCATATTTCAGTATGCCTTCATTTTTCCACAAAGAAAATCTGTGCATGGATCAGTATGCATATTTTGCTCGCCTTTTATATTTTCATGTCATTATATTTTCATTTATATTATAAATTAATGTATTTTATCATTATATTTTATGCTTATTATAAAATRTAATTCCATTTCATGTTTTAAAAAAGCCTGACTGTACAACAGCACATTGATTTATGTGTTTAAATCACGTAACTGGGAAAACTGTAGGATTTTTTTCTTAATAGAACTAAATTCTTAAACTTATTTACAGTATGAAGTTGCATTTTAATACAAACATGGATTACTTTGTAATAAACACCTTGTGTTTATTGCAAAATGTTAATATAGGCAAATACCTAATTAAGTTCAGTCTGCAGATGTTCTTTCTTTCATCCAAGTTTTCCTCTTTTATTCTACACCGAGTCTGTAATTTAAAATTGCAGTAGAACTTGAGCCAACATATGTTTAAAAAGCCTTTAAAGATGATTTGCTGAATAGATATTTATTAGAAATGCAAATAAAGATATTCCATGGCTGTAAAACTAATACATCTCTTTTTATATAAGTTTCTGAGTCTCACCGAGGAAGATCTGAACAAGTTTGAATCCCTCACCATGGGAGCCAAGAAGAAACTCAAGACCCAGCTGGAGTTGGAGAAGTAAGTGGAAAAAAGAATTGTTTAAGTTCCTAAGATATAATTTCTAACCCAAGAGACAGACTTACAGGTGGGACAGGGTCCCCATCAGGGACACCCCACCTGGTATCTGCTTACCAGATAATATTTATGCATGTTGGGTTCTTTGCTGTTCATGACTTTTATACGATAGCCAAATGCAAAGAATTTGTGAACTCAGTTTTATAAGGTCACGAATAACCCGGCCATAACGTAAATGCAAGTCTGTGTCATGTGAGGATGTTTTTAAACAGTGCTGCAGCCACGGTGATAAATGCAAAGCCAGGATTGTAGGAGGGAGATGCATTTAATGATCTTTTCATTGGGCAGCGAGTAGTACTGAGGAAAGTCGACAAGCTTACTGGGCACCTAAACCTGACTTCAATACTTTGGGATTTGTGTTCTTAATAATTTCTGCCATAACGGGCTGCCACAGCTTAGATTTTGGGCTCACCCCTGACCTGAGATTCATGGGGTGGGAGCGAATCAGAAAGGCAGGTTGCCAGAGGACACATATAGGAAAGAAATGAGGCTGCCCAGCAGGATGTTTTATTCATAAGACCTGCCGCTGTTGTGGGCAGGGCGGATGGAGCTGGGCTCCTTCCAGGGCATCCTTGGTGCCCTGTGGTGGCCCCGTGGCAGCCGCAGCCACCCAGGCTCTGCCGAGGACTGCCCGATGATCTGCATCCTCTGTGTGGATTTGCTGACATCTGGAGGGACAAAGCACTGAAAATCAGGGCTGGTTTGGTGGTGTTTGCACAGCAGGCAACCTTAGCTGCAGGAAGAGCCATTTTCAGGGTGGGAATGGTGTAAAAAGAGCCAGTGCTGCATGCGATGCTGATGGCCATTTGGGGCAACGGATGCAGCAGATTGTCCATATATCCCTGCGGGGAGGCAATGCTTGCTCTGAAACTGTTGTAGTTGCTCAGAAAGCAATTAAAGAATCCAACTCCATGCCCATTTATCCAAACTCCTTGACAGCGTTTTCTGWTGGTCTTCGTTTTTTTCCAGACTGTTTGCTAAAGCAAGAGATGATAATAGATGACAAAAACACCAGTGAAGCTGCTGGCAAGAGGCTGTATTCCAAGACTGATAAAACTTCCGTTTGAAATTAGCATAGCTTTGAATGCACTGTTCAGTGGACTTAAGTCTGCTTCAGTCTCATTTAAAAAGTGATTTCTCCGTTAATGTTCTTTAGCCAATTTTTGTTCCTTTGCAATGTTTCTCCACCACTCTAGAGAAAAATCAGAGAAGCGGTGCCTAAACCCCACGCCAGCCGCTTCGGTTACCAGCAGCGGAGTGGCCAGGGTTCCCCCTACGACTCACATGGGGCCTATGCAGAGCATTCGTGGCAACCATGCTGCAGGTAAGAGCGAGGAGAYGGGCTCTGTAGGACATCCATGGCCTTGTGCAAGAGCCTCAAGTTGCTGCTTTTCCACCACTTGCTGTAAACTTCATTTTCCGCTTCGTCCGCAGAGCTGCGGGTGGATGTGGACCAGCCAGCCCACCCGCTGCCCCGGGAAGGCAGCTCTTCCGAGTACTCCAGCTCCTCCTCCAGCCCCATGGGGATCCAGAYGAGGGAAGAGAGCTCGGACAGCGCCGAGGAGAATGAGAGACGTAAGCAGAACCAGGCGGAGGCGGTGCCGGCGCTGCTCTGCTCTGGGGTGAAGCTCTGTTTGTTTATAAAATGTTTCTGTCCCCAGGTTTAGAGATTCACTTAGACGGTTCAGAGAAGGAGAAGCCGGTGATGTTACTGAATCACTTCACCTCGAGCTCGGCCAGACCCACAGCTCAGGTTTTGCCAGTGCAGAACGACACGGGCTCCAATCCGTCCGGCCACCACGCGCTGCCAATGCAGATGATGTCAGCAGCCTCTACTCATATCACCCCCATCCGAATGCTAAATTCGGTGCATAAATCAGAGCGTGGCAATGCAGACATGAAGCTACTTTCATCGTCTATGCATTCGCTGCTGTCTTTAGAAGAAAGAAATAAGGTTTCTCCGGGGCCTAGAGGCAGCATAAAAATGGAAAAGAGCTTTGGAAACGCCGTGGTGGATGTAATGGCTGCGTCTTCTCCCCACCAGCCCTTGCAAGTGCTCTCAGGGGCTGCTGAGAACAGTTCGCCTACATCTACTATTAACTTTGGGCCTCGAACCAAAGTCGTGCACGCTTCGACTCTGGACAGGGTGATAAAAACAGCTCAGCAGCCGGGGCTGATAGTGGAAACGAGCACTGCTGCCACTGTGACGTCCAGCACGGTCTTCCACGTGGCTCGCCCGCCCATCAAGCTCCTGGTGTCGTCTTCGGTTCCTAGCGATTCCGCCATGGCCGGGCAGACTTCCTGCTCCAGTAATATGCAAATAACGGTGTCCCCCGCAATAATAAACCCCCGGACTGCTCTCTATACAGCCAACACCAAAGTTGCCTTTTCCGCGATGAGCAGCGTGCCGGTGGCGCCGATGCAAGGCAGCTTCTGTGCGAACAGCAACGCGGCCTCCTCCAGCAGCCACCCGTCCACGTCCTTCGCGACRCTGGCCAACCTGCCGAGCTGCCCCGCGCCCAGCTCCAGCCCCACGTTGTCGTCCGAGAACAACTTCTACAGCAGCAGCAACAGCGGCAGCAGCGGCGGCGGCGGCGGCGGCTCGGCGGGGAGCATCCCAGTCCCRAACCAGAACCACCACCACCACCACCAGCAGCAGCCGCAGCCGCCCGGCTGCATGGTGTGCAGCTCCTGCGGCTGCAGCGGCAACTGCGGCTCGAGCGGCATGACCGTCAGCTACGCCAACTATTTCCAGCACCCGTTTTCAGGGCCGTCGATGTTTACCTTCCCCTTCCTGCCCTTCAACCCCCTGTGCAGCAACGGCTACATCAACACGCAGCAGTACAACAGCAGCACCACCTTCCCCGTGGTGCACACCGCCTACAACAGCGGCCTGGCGCCCGACTCCGTCATGAGCGGCCAGTCCACGTTCGCCGTGCCGCCCATGCAGAACTTCATGGCGGGCACGGCGGGGGTCTACCAGGCYCCGGGGATGATGGGCAGCAGCAATGGCTCAAGTCACAAAAAGAACGGGAATCTCTCCTGTTACAACTGCGGGGCCAGCGGGCACAGAGCTCAGGACTGCAAGCAGCCGCCGATGGATTTCAATCGACAAGGTAAAGAGCAGGTTTGGGCCGAAGGGAATCGGCTCGGGTTCGTATTCCGCTTGCGTGGCCAAGCTCGTTCGTGGAAGCCGAGCTGGAATTMGAGACGCTGGCCCCTTCCTGAGCACAGAGGGGAGGAGAAGGCCCCAGCTAAGGCCACTGCTGTGGGTTGGGGTTGGTGGCGGCTCCGGGCTGAGACCCTGGAGCTCACAGGCAGTGGGAGAGAGTTTTCCGAGGCTAATGGCAGCAGAACTTTTGCTGCTTGTTAATTTGCAGCCCAAGTGACYTATGGCTACAGGCTCTCCTGGGCATGTACAACAGAGCATCTCTTCCCCTTTCCCCCCACTGCCCAAAACAGCTACATAAATGAGGAATTTCTGTACAAATCCCCGTGAAGGCCCTTGGTGGATGTGAGCGGCTCTGCTCGCTTTATAGAGCAGGGTTTAGCACTGCTGCAGCATGGGCTGCTACCTGGAGAGATAAGAAAGCCTCSATTCAGGGCAGGAAACAACTCAAATGTTCTTTCTGAGGAATGCTTTCCAGTCCGTTTCTATTAGGACTGACGTGTTTTAAGATCGTTTGCAGGGGTATAAACTTAACAAAGGAAATACAAACTTGGGACTGGAACCAGTCGTACTGAAGTGTTGCACTTTACGCTGGGTCTCAAGGGTGTCACAAGCCTCTGTTTGTTCCTTCATGATGCTGGCCAGGCCCTCAGCACTTGGTTATTATCAATTGACAAGTGACCAGTGCTGGGRCAGCAATTTCCAGCAGTGCTAAAATGTAAATAATTAATAGAGTTTCGATGATTCATGTTGTGACAGTGGCCATTTGGAGAAATGTCAAAGTTCAGAGAAATTCAGAAACGTAGTCGGCTTCCTTTAAAAGCCAAATTTTGTTTAATTAATTAACTTTCCATTTAAGCTATCCCCAGCTAAGGTTTGCCTGCCCTAGAACTGTGCAGGTGATTAAAACTGCCCTTTTATTTTCCTTTCTGTAGRCAGTGGCCGTGTGCTTGTTGGCCTCGTGCAGCTCCACGTTGGCTGCTGCRTTTTGTGCGGTGCACCTTGTAGGAAGGAGGTTGTTCTGGGGCGTTGTGAGGTGCAACTGCGGTGAAAACGCTGAAATGTTGAATTCTTCTCTTCCTTTAGGTACTTTCAGGCTGAAATACGCTCCTCCATCCGAGAGCCTCGACTCCACAGACTGATATTTTATCTGGCAAGAAAATACTGTTAAGCCATGGAGACATAAGGCGATTGAACTACAAAACTGAGACGTCCAGTTGCTGTTAAGCTTAATGTATTTTTTAATCCAAAGGTGCTTTACTTTATTAGACTAGGTAGGAAATCTAGCTTAGGGGTGCATCAAACCCATTGTTGATTGCCAAATTCAAGCCTGGATCTTGTTGTTGGGACTTGGCACTCGGCGGCGTAGGACTGACGGGATGGTGGAGCCGGCCAGCTGCGTTTTCTGTTGCAAGTAGCACATCCTACGTATTATTTTGCTGGAGAATGTTGCCATATTCGGACTTTTCGAAGCTGAAGCGTCTCACTCCAGGGCAGCTACATTCTGAGGTGAAAGCTGGAGGTTGAAGGTAGGAGCAGCCATTCGCCAGAAGGACTTTGGCACCCCTGGGCTAGGTAAAATGTCTACTTTTTTTCAAAAGTGATCAGGCACTAATCTCTGGGATTTTTAAGGATTGCACTACAGAAGAATGTAAAACTTTGAGCTTTCTGCACTTTTAGCAGACAGTGTCACTCTGAGACCAGTGCAAGAGGCAAAGAAGTTCCAACTTTTAAAAAAGAAATTGGCACCAGCAGGCTATGTGACTTACTACACAATAAAACCTGAAATAAGTCTCTCCCTTCCAAAAGAACACACACAGCAGTTTTGGTTCCTCCTGGAAACAAACTCATGCTTCATTGTCTCACTTATTRCTAGCTAGTGCTGGGTTTCCAGCAGTGGAATAAACTTAGTTTCCAAGGGTCCAAGTCCCAGAGACTCCAGAGTCATAAAGGCTTCAAGGATATTTTCCTGTAATACACAAACAACCTTTATGTCCTGTTACTGTATATAGGTCTCTTTCACAGAAACCTTATTATTCTGCTTTTGTAAATGAATTTTAAACTATCCTAAAAAAAAAGGAAAAAAAAGGAAAAAAAAAAAAAGAACTCTGGCAGCAGAGTTTGTAAGCTTTTGCTTTACTTTATACTTAAAAAAATAAAATTAAAAAAAAAATCTTTGACTCCTACCCCAAGGCTTTTGCTACAGGATTCAAGAGTGGTAGAAGTCAACCATGTACAAGGTAGTAAACTTCATTATTATCAAGACTTTGAGGGATTTCTTGTCAGCCTCCTGCGTTGCAATAGATTGTAGATGACTAGCTTTGGTGTTAACTACTTAGCATACTCAATTTGTGGATGACAAATCTAAATTAGGGCTTGAGAGGAAGCCAAGCAAATCTCGGACTGCTGAGGCGGAACGGTTTGGTCCTGTCTTGTCAAAAGAAGATATTAATCCTCATGGCTCACCCAAGGAGTCTGACACCAGGAGACGGGTGAGGCCTCCTCTTTAAAASATGTCTGGCATAGAGATATTTGCATACTGTAATTGGGAAGATGCTTTTAAAGTCTAAAGCCTCGTTTACACCTGGAGAATTATCCCTTTGAACCACACCAGGATGGGGCAGTTCGTAGCGCTGCTTGGACCCGAGCACGAGGGAAGTCCCATCAGCAACAGAGGTTTCCCAGGCTCCAGGGGATTCGGGCCTTAGCAGGGAGATGTCAGCCAAGTCCTTAGTGTGGCAGCCACCACTTTCCTGGAGCGGGATAACGGGAAAGAGACATCCCGGGCCGGGCTGCGTTGGGAAAGAGGGCGGCTGGCAGCTCCCGCAGCCGGGACAGGGCAGCGGGAGCGTCGCCCGCGCCGCAGAAACCCGGCAGCTCCAGGGAGGTCGTAGAGCTTGAGGCTTCGTGGCAAACCAAAGCCTAAATTCATGTAAAATTTGCGTTAGAAAAAGGAGAAAGAAAAAAAAAAAAGTAATTTCTATGCAATGGAGAAAAAAAGAGAGAGAAATGTGGTTTGTGTTGACGCTCCGCGGTGTTGCGGACCCTGCCGCGCCGCTTACGTTGGCCAGTGTTTCGAGGAGGTTCCCTGTGTTGTACCCACCACCCTGTAACACTAGAGTGATGAAAACTGACAATGCAATTAACTTTGCCTTAATGAGCTCGAGACAATAGTAGGAACAATCTGTCATACCGTGTCACGGTGGAGGAAGAGCGTGGTTTTCACTGACGATGTTTACTCTTCACAGCTCCGAGGGTCTCTCCAGTGGCCTGGAACATGTGCTGAAAGCCAAACTTTAACGTTTTTTTCACTTTTTTTAAAAACAATATTTTAAAACGGAATTGTATTTAAAGAAACTGTGCTTCAACACACGCGCTAGCGTTAAAAACCCTTTCTCAAAATAGCAAAAATCAAGAGCAAAAAAAAAAGAAAAAAAACCATTTTTTTACACTAGTTGCATTTTGTTTTAATGCCCAAGGCTGGGAATGTAGTCTCGTCAAGCATTCATCACAAAGTCAAACCTGTTACGAAAGGACTATGAAACCGAACTTTTATCCAGCAAAACTTCTCGGAAAAACACAAACTGTTTCATTCCTGTCTTCAGAGCTTTCTTTGGGATTGTTTCCTTTGTGTGAAGTTAAGGCTGATGTTTCTTCAAGTGGCTTATGTGTACTTATAGGTAACATTTTTTTAAGTGGTGAAGTCTGATTTTAGGCTAGGTTCAAATTCAATAGTCTCGAGTACCTTAAAGCAGCAGCGTGAGTTTAATAGAGAACCGCTAGAGCTGGCGCCGATTCCGGAGCCTTCCCTGAACCAGAGGCAGTTGTGGCTTCAGATCTGCTCGTGAACGCAGTTCACGGTGTACCAAGAGCAACCAAAGTTGGTAAGTCTAAGCAGAGCACTTTAGTTCCATAGAATAAATCCCTAATCCTTTAATCCAGTTTTTCTCCCCCCTCAAAAGGAAGGCAGCTTGCTGCGGTAGGGCAGCCCCAGCTTTGGCAGCCAAAAATCAGTTCTTTAAACCTATTTTTATATACGGAAAGATGGAGGTTTCCAAGCGTGCTGTTTATTGCTATCTCTGTCCTGAATGTATAAAAAGGATTTGTTCTCAGAGGGGATTTTGCTGTGGAATAAGAGCGATTTTTAAAATCCAAGGGAATCCCAAGTCGTCGTGCAGGGACGCGGCAGGGATGAGTCTTCCTTAAGCAAAGCGAGGTGCAGGGCAGCTCCGGAGGTGTTTTCCACTTGGGAATGTTGCTGGAGCTRCCACAAACAGAACAGGTTTTCCAGCAGCAACCTCCTCAGCACAGTTGTAGTCCGTAAATTCCACCTTAATCATACGGTGTGGCTGCCACCAAACACGAGGAGGTTGAGCAAGGAGGACTCGTTTTTAGCAAGCCAGGTGTTGATTCCAGCTTTCCAGAGTCATTTTCCTTAGAAGAACACAGGAAGCTTGGCTGGTAGTGGAGCTTTTTAAATAGCATCTCTCTCTCTCCTGGTCATTACCCCTTGGCAAGTGAAGCAACAAAGTTCCAGAATTAACTCACCAGTTAGCAGCCCTTGACCGTTCACCTGGAGCATCCTGCTGTTTCTCACTGGCAAACGTTGGCGTGAAGGTACTCAAAAAAATCAGGGTTTTGTGTGCAGAAGAGCAACTAGTTYAATGCTGCTCCCTGAGAAAGCAAGAGCCGCCCCCCTGCGTAGAGCTCAGTGCTTTATTTTATTTTCACAATGTCGTCAGGCCCAAAGGAGGTGAAGTAGCAGCCCCAGAGCTGGGCACTTGGGGTCGGCGAGAGCAGCTTTCACGTGAGCCCGAAATGGCCGAAACTTGAGGGCAAACAGGGCAATTGCAGCACCCAAAAACTCATTTGCTGGTTGAGGCCAAAGTTAAATGGAGCTACAGCGATCCCAGCCCCGCACTGAGATACACAAATAACTTCCATGTGTTGTAACAAGTCCTTGGAACTACCCCTTTGCTCTCAAATCCTTATACGAGCAAGAAACGTGTTGGTACGGAAGCAGAAAGCGAATCCTGTGGGTTTTCAAGTGCAGATTAACAGCTTCTCTTGGACATAACTTTCCACTAGGAATGAAGGAAACTCCTGCTCCCATTTGAGCCATTTCTTTTACTTCAGTCAATTCTAGTATTACAAATTGTGCATGTAACTTTATAAATATTTTAAATAGTTTTGTAAATATTTAATATTCAGCTAATTTGATTTTGAATTGTAAATGTCAAGTATTCTGGTATTGGGATTTTTATGTTTTATTATACTTTGTTAAAAGTAAAATTGTACATTTTTAGAATGTTTTTATCTGAGTAAATTTAATGTATGGAAAATAAAGAGTTAAACAGAACCCTCCAGGCCTCAGTCATTTATTTTGTAAAGGATGGTGTCCTTTTGGGCCGTGTCCTGCTTAGCCCTTGTGAGGGGTTTTTTTTCTTTAATTCCCTTTATTCCTTGTGCTCTCTCCTCCGCAGGCACCTGCCCAGGGATCAGGAGCTGCTGCGGCGCTTGCAGGTCCCCTCTGCCTCTCGGCCCAGACACACAGCTCTGGAAAGGTTCGTTTGGGCTTTTTGTTGTTTGAGGGACTGCAGGGCAGGTTGTGGGATGGGGATGAGCGGGAAAGCTCAACCGGAGCCCTGTGGATGGGCCCTGGGATGCGGCTGTAGCTCCCTGGGTGCAGAGACCGGTGCTGACCGCAAAGGGAAGGGTAATTGGGAGGGGAGCACAAGGGGCTGCCCCTTTCTCGGGAGCCGCCTCTCCAGGAGCCAGTTCCTGCTGGGCACAAAGCGCAGCTCCTGCAAGGAGAGGCTGATGCTGCAGAGCGGGAATGGAAAACGTGGGATATCAAACACGTGCGGGCAGCTCCCGACCTTTAACTGGAGGAGCAATGTCCAGGCAGAGAGCAGAACCGCCTCGGAGGGCCCTTTCCCGTCACCTCCTCCTTGCAGAGAGAGGAATCTCCCGTCTCTGCCTCCTTGCTTGGTGCCCAAGGTGCCCGGGCACTGGCAGCAGCGCCGCCTCCCCCGGAGCAGGTAGAGTCTGACCCTCCTGCGCYGCTCTCTGCAACTATTTAAACCTTTATAAATAACCACACAAGCCATAGGTAAGTTGGGATGTAATCCATCCATATCAGCACTGTATTAATTTTTWAAAAAAGCAACATTTGTACAGGAACATCAGTCAATCACGTCGTAATTACAGGTACGGTTGTCAGTTATGAGTTAAACAGTTCCTTACACAAAACTAAACATAGGACGAGCTGCATTTAAAAGTTTACATGGAAGTAAAAACACAACATTTAAAAAATCCRAAGTAAGCCTCGTGAACAAGATGCATGCAAAGAGGTGTAACAGGTACCAAGTGTACCCCTTATTGAGCTCGAGTGCCAAGATGCAGTAGTATTGCTTCTTTTCCCCCCATTCTAGTGCGTTAGCTTCCAGTAACGGCTGTAGTTAGTTCACAGACACATAATACACGAGTCATCTCAGCCTGCTACGCTTTGTGGCGAGAGGAAAAACACATCTAGCAGCTCCCCTTGCTCTGCACGGGCTGCCTCCTGCTCGGGGCAGCGGGGAACCTCGGTGCCGGGACTCGCTCGTCCCACRGGCTGCTTTCCAGAGCGGGTCCCCCCGACGGGGACACGCGGGAGGTGACAGCGAGCGAGGCAGCTTGGATTCGTCACCGCCGGGTGACACAAAATCCCACCCGCTCCAAGCGGATGGACCTGGGGGATGCTGCCCCCTTCCCGAGCGGCACCGGCTACGCCCGCCACTTCCTAGGACCTGCTCCCAGCAAATCCACATGGCTGCACCCGGAGCGATGCTCCGGCGGCAGCCCGCCCGGCTGGGCAAGGGTGTTTCACTGACCACGCAGGCATGGGGGATTCGGAGCAGAGCGCAGTTTATTGGAACATCGCCCGTCCAGGTGCGTGCTGTACAGTTAACATCCTAGAACTACATAAAGCTGTGGTGTTTGGTATGAGTATTTCAGAAAGTGGCACCACCTCGAAGGTGGCGGTACCAAAAAAGGGAAACAAAATAAGTCAGGAAATAGGAGTTTTCCTCCCTTGTCTCACCCCAAGTGCTTGCCTTAACCCACCGCAGCACTGAGACAAATCTCCACTTTGGAACATTAAATGTACTGGCTCTCGCTAAAAGCTTTCCCATTAAAAAAAAAAAAAGGTAACAACACCAAAAAAAAGAAAAGGAAACGGAGCTTTTCCAGAAAAGTGTCACACGAAACTTTAGCTTCTCACCGGTGCCTGTTTGCCCGTTCAAGTGAACCGAGTCTCCCTTCACTTGCAGCTGACGCGCGCGCGACTGGGATCCGCTGCCGAGTCCAGGCCCGTCAACGTGCCTGCGTGGAGCCTTGCAGCAGCTTCCCAAAGGCAGAGGTGCTCGCCTGTACTGCTCACTATTCACAAACAAGGCAAGGTAAGATGAGACACCCGCTAAAGCAAGACTAGGCTAAGGTACTGAGAGCATCGGTGACGTCTGGTTCTTTTCCCTGGGGTGCGCGTGGGGAAGAAGGGGGTGATGGCCAAGGGTAACGCCGCTGCGGGCAGCCTAGCGGGCAGGCTGCGCCCCGAACGTCTCCTGCGAGGCGTACACCATGTAGAGGAAGCCGTCCTCGTCCTTCTCGCTCTCGTACACCTCGGAGATGGGCGTCGAGACGCTCACCATGCTGTGCCCGTTCACCAGCAGGAAGAAGGCCTGGTTGGAGTTGAGCTGCAGCCGGCGCCTGCGGGGCGGGAAGGAGGTTGGCAGCGGTGCCACTGCGGTGCCACGCACATTGCCGCCGTTGTAAGAGGCAAAGCCAAATCCTCGACCACTGGAAGCTCTTGGATGCCCCCAGCAAAGCAGCCCCACCACCAGGAAATGCACTGGTTCCCACCCCAAGACTGTTTTCCCAGTGCAATCTCCTAAATTTTATCCCTTTCTGTAGTTAAATTCATCTTCTGTGCAGGTAGAAGCCTTTATTGCACTGGAGCAGAAGGGGCTGAATGCCAGGAGGGCCTTAAATGCAGCGAGAAAAAAAGGTATTCCCAGGCAGCCTGGGTATCCCTATATTCCTAGAAAAACATGCGAGGCTTGAGGGACCGTGGAACTCACTGCATGGCTGGAATCGAGTGAACTCACTGCTCGCTGGAATCGAGTGAAATTTAAACCCTGACTGACCTTGGGAAGCCCACGTGAACCAGGGGAGGGAGAGCTGCAGAGCTTCCTTCTGCAAACGCGGCGCCTCGCGGCCTTTAACCCCAGCAACATCTCAACCCTTAACCCTTCCCTATCTGCTCGGAGTCTGTAAACACCCCAAGGGAGGCAGTGAGGAGGATGGGGCGGCCTCTTTGAGGGGTGCCCACTAGAGGAAACAGCCACAAACCGAAGCACCAGAAGTTCCCCAGGAACTCAAGGAAACATTTCTTGACAGTGAGGGTGACAGAGCCCGGGAACAGGCTGCCCAGGGRGGCTCTGGAGTCTCCTTCTCTGGAGATGTCCCAAACCTTCTTGGACGCAGCCTGTGCCACATGCTCTGGGTGACCCTGTGTGTGCAGCAGGGTTGGACTCGATGATCTCTAGAGGCTCTGCCAACTTTAGGGGTTCTCTGATTGTGTGATTCCTGCCTGTCCTGCGGGAGCAGCGCACTGGGAAGAGGCGAGAGCACCAGGGTCTGCATGCTGCAGGTCAGAGCATCCTTCCCTCACACCACCTGCTTCCAGCTGGCAGTAAATCCCAGTACAGGAGAACTTCCCAGCCCATCCCGCTCCCTGCCAAGGGCTGCAGCAGCTCAAAGGAGCCTTTCTCGAGCTCACAGCTGCAGCCCAGGGAAGGAGCATTCCCAAACCGAGCTGGAATCACCCTCCAGGGCGGCAGCAGCTCCGAGGGGTTGCAAGGACAGGCCTGCACTGCCCAAGAGCCCCGACCAGCTCGTACCAAGCTACCTATTAACCACAAAGCCAAAGGAAAAAGGTGGGGAAAAATACTTTCAATTTGCCTTTTGCCCAGGGGCTTTAATGTTCCTTGGAAATTCAGGAAGACTCCAGCAGTCATGACTTGCTGAAGCAGGAACCAGTCTCACTTTCTTACTCATGAAAGAGCTGCGATTTGTTCAAAGGGGAGAGCTCTCGTTTTTTTACAGCTTGTGCCCTCCAAGCAGCAGCTCCCTGCTACACCGTGACCAATAAAAAGCAAACTCTGGTTTTGCTTCGAACTTCCATAGTTTTCTCCTCGGGAACCCTCACTAATCAGATATTCTCTTTGACATGAAGCCAGGAGAAAGCCACTTCTAGCAGCATTTCTTACCACAATTCCAGACCACACAACATCCACCTCAGGGTTTCCACTTTTCTGCTGCCTTTCCTTRTAAGCAGAGCCCAAGCACAAGAGGGGAGCGGTCCCCAAGCCACAGCCTGCTCGAACAGCCGGGGCAAGGAAGCCACTGCTCTGAACGTGTTTTTCAGGCCTCAGCACTTTCATTTGGGGTAACCTCATTTCAAGGGGTTCTCATTTCCCTAAGGAGGAGCTCGCAGCTCTCCCTCCGAGCCCAAACTGCCACTCCCGTGGGTGGGAAAGGGGCTCCCAGGCAGAACACTAAGACGACCCTAAAACTGCCAGACAGAGCCCAGTGGGGCCCCTGGCCAGAAGCACCCACGCTAGACTGGGATTTGCAGCCCCAAATCCCCCCATCCATCCCTGGAAATGGGCTATTCCTTTGGAAAATAACAGCTCAGTTCTTTTCAGACGTGGCTAAGGAGCTGGTRGTACCTGCTATAGCCTGCACAGATAACGGGAGCCCACAGCTCCTCTCCGTGTCCTACAAGAGCCGCTGCAGGTAACGATTCCATCCTTTAATTTGGTGCACGGGGTTCTGAATCGCTCTGAAGCTCCTATCTGAGGCACGTGTGGGTCTAGCACAACACCATAATAATTCCGTCTACAGGAAAACACAGTCTTTCTGTTTCAGGGCTATTTATATCCCTGTTTCTTTCTCATGGAAACAGCTGCTAGGTGCATCAGTAGAAGGCCCTTTGTACAAAACTACTTTTAACCAGGGCTGTGCCAGCAAAGAGCAAGGAACATCACGCTATAACTCATCGGTCAAGCACCAGCTAAATGAGTTTTCCACTTAAAGAGTTTCCAAAATCACACGCCAGCTATGAAATTAATAAAGAATCATCACTTTGATGCAGCATACACTGAAATCACAGCATACTACCTGATAATTTTGATGAGCTCACTCATGTTGACATGATCTGGAACCAGGAACTTAGTCTTATCCAGGACTGGAAGCTGTTTCTCCCCCTTGTACCTTTCAATAATCACCTAAAAGAAACAAAAAGTGTTAAGATGAACAGCAAAAATGCCATGGTGCCCTCCCCTGTCCCATATTTTAAATGCAGACATATGGAAGGATTTATGCTAAACGGCATTTTATTTCATTTGTAAAATCATCATCTCAAATGTAAAACCAGAACAGGAATTTTCACCCACTCCTCTTGTTCTGTTTGCAAGACTCCTGGCGTGAAGGGGGATATATTGCTAAAATCATTTAATCTGGCACTGAACTGGCCATGAGCAAGGAAATTCAAGTTGGATGCCTGGGCTGCTCTCTAGGTCTAGAATCTCTCCAGTTTCTCCTAACGGGCCATCTCTTCCTCAGAGCTCAGAATTRTCACTGTTATGTCAGCCCTCCCTAGTTTCTCCAGTGTATTAAAGAAAGCTACTTTTGAAGGGTATAAAACCTCAAAGAGAGAGCTTCTTCCCCCTTAATCTCAAGATAGCATGCCCAGGAACCAGTAACTCTGTCAAGATTATTATTTACTACTTAACTCATAAGGAAATTGTAGATGTGCCAATGTCAGTAGCACCCCGCCCAGCAACTGCCTATAGTTTCTGCTCTTAGGGAAAGATCTCGGAATTCATGCATCTCTTTCCACAGCCACGTGGGTTTTGCTGTTTTTCAGTCAACAGTAACTGTGTGACACCATTCGCTTGGAAGGGACTTGGATCCTTTCCATGCTCACAAGGTCTGACCAGGTTGATGTTCACGAGTTGCACAGGTGAAGAGACAGCAGACCAATTTTAGTATATTAATGAAAGACCTCCTTAAACCCCTTCAAATTAATGCTGGCTAATTCAGGGGTGGGGTGGGCAAGGAAACAAAAATTATTTTTAAGAGGAAGACCATAAACAATGGATATTTTCAACTGCAAAGTGAAGGATGGGGATATGACATCTAGCATGACATCATCCTCCTGACTCATCTGGAGCTGCTAAGGAGGATAACGAGGCCGTGGCACTGCCCAGGACATGGGCTGGCAGGCACAGCAAGGCCCCGGGGCTCCCAGCAGGTTCTTCCATGGTTGCATCACTGCACCTGCAGCAAGCAGCTTAGGGACCTCTGCATTTTTTACTGGTAACCTCTCCATAGCTGACTTCAAAAGAGAACTTTAAATCAATCACTTTCAATGTGTGGCCACAGAGCTCAGGGACTACTTCTGAGTGATCAGTGAGAAGTGAAAGCAAAAGCAAGCTATTGCCAGGAAGCAAATTTGTCAGGAAATGGCCTTTTGGGAAAACTACAGGCTCCAGACAAGTCAGAAGAGCCCTGCTACAAACGATTACTGGTGCCATGCCCAGCAGCGTGGTTACTGGCCAAGCTGCTGCTGCTGCCGTTTGAGATGATGTAGCTTAAACCTGGAGGGTGGCTGAAAATTTTCAGTTTCCATTTTAGGTGGCAACTGCTTCTGTTAATAAATTTGCGCTAGATCTGCGGACAGCTTGCAAGTAATTTGAGTATCTTCTGAAAAAAATCCGCTCATAAAGATCATCAGCTCTCAGCACTGAAAGCCAAAAGCTGAGGCCTCCAAGTTCACCCTTCTGCCTCCCAAAATGTCCCAAGACCTTCCCTATTCCACCAAAGGCCACAGGGACAACTGCATTTACTGCTTTCTGTGATACCCACTCCACGACAGCTCGCTAATTAYGGCCCAAATTAGCAATATATCACAATCTCTTCCTTCGAGGATGCTTTGTAAGCGCTTTGCACTTGTAACCTCTAGGATGCCAAAACAAAACTAAGGTTTAGGGAAGTGGTTTGGGGCTGTCCCGTGCACGACGGGTGAGGTCAGCGATGATCTCTGCGGCTCCCAATGATGGGTCATCATGTTTGGGGTGGCTCAGCACAAGGTGCAGGAGTTGGACAGATGCAAAGCAATCCCAGCAAATTCCAAGCAAAGCAAGTGTTTGCTTCTGCTTTCCTCAGCATGGATATTGAAGGAAAGCTACATCWGACACTAAATTACTGGGTACTCTTCCTGGTTATCTCCTGCAAACTCTTCTTCCAAGGAAGCAATATGTCCAATTTCAGGATGAGAAGAGCTGAACACTCAGGAGAACCTCAGAGCTCGCTCGGGGTGGGGCTTTCTTTGAAGCTACAGCACGTGGCATCACAACACAGGAAACTCCATTTCCTGTAGTCACCTTGCTCTATCACAGTGACAACCAGTTACTGGGCTAAGAACATTTCTGAAGGCCAGGCTTAATGGCCCTCGAAGGGACATGTTTTAATTAGGACTCACCAGGTCACATTTTTCATAGGATTCTTACCAGCAAGAAAAAAAAAGGAGGAGAAAAAAAAAAAATAAAATAAAAAGCATGAGACCTCAAATGGAGCAGACAAGAACCAGACTTACTGGTATTTTAGTTGGATGTTGGTCTCGAATCAGTCGTACATCTTCCACTCTTTGCTCTGTAAGAGATTAAAAAAGAAAAAAAAAAAGAAAAAAGCTGCTCAAATACCAACATTTAAGGCTGTTATTACTTAATATCTCCACCAGTGTACAGAAATAGTGCAAGTTAATAAAGCCACAAAAGCAAATTCAGGCAGAGCTGTTTTCTAAGGGGACAACGTTGGCAAGAGCCACCTCTCATTTCACTGGTTCCCGCCGYTCCTTGACCCCACATGACAAGATGCACATTGCCTGGGACTCCTAAAATGCCTTTTTTTAAGAGAGGGACCTCCCCCGCACCCCTCATTTTCTGCCAACTTAAGCAGACATTAATCGCAGAAATTTATGGGATCAAATTACACTATCCAAGTTAACGACTAAATATCCCACGCTACTTCCACTGGATCCCACAAGAGGAAGTTGTCAACAATTATTTGAGACCCAAGACTAGCTGAAACCAGGCAGCATCAGCTTACACTRTTGGTTCTAGTATTACAGAATTACATTTTTCTCTTTTGATTACGCTGCACATATTGTTGCCCAAATCGTTAGCAGGTTTTTGCACCCCTCGATATTTCTCCGTTATCCGTGCCAGTTTTCAGGATAAAGTTCCTCTCRGGCATAAATATCAACAGTACAGATATTACAAACTGGGATGAAGTACAAGCCAGGGCCAACGTAAACGGACACGGCTGCTTCTAGAGCCGGTTGCATCTGCTTATACCACGGCCAGGTTTGCATTTAATGAACCCAAATTTAATCTCTCTGGTTTCCATCTCGGGCTGGGCCATCCAGGCCGTCTCCAAACACCTCCCAGGGCTTCCCACACCCTTGTGCTCCTGAGGGAGCCGGGCRGCTTCGTGCAGCAGCTCAACCCCAGCTCGGACCGGGCGTTTCAGCCCTTGCAGAGCTAGAATTAACACTCCAAGGCCAGCGCCGCCAGCTAATTAAAACACTTTGGTGATTAAGCTAACGAGAAACACAGCTAACCGGGCGCGAGCGGGGGCAAGCGTGAGCGCAGGGAACCCGGAGGGGTCCCGCTCGCTTTGGGGCTGCAACGGGTCTGCGCTCGGCGTCGTTACTCAGCAGATCTCCCCCAATATGAGGCACGTCAAGCTGGGGCTGGATAAATCCCGGCGATTATTGTTTATGGCGCGCTGGAGAGCAGGCCCCAGCGCGCTGACGACACCGGTCGCAGTGGCAACTGCTTGGCTGCCATCCTGGCCGAACTCAATACCCGCGGGAGAGGCCGGGGCAGCTGGGGATGGCACCAGGGCGGCTCTGGGGCGGCTCCGAGGGACGGGCCGCGCTAACCGCGGGGCTCCCCGCATCGCGGCCGGCCTGCGGAGCGGCCGGGCGGCTGCTCGAGGCCGCCCGGGGTGGGGAAGCGCCGTAAGCGGCTTGGCGGCGGCCCGAGGGAGGGCACGGGCGGCCTCGCGGGCTCCGCCTCGGCCGGCTCCGCCTCACGGAGCGCATTTCACGGCAGGTGGAAATAGGTCAGGSCGCCAGCGAGGGGGCCCGGTCCGCCCGGCACCCCGCAATGGCTGGCACACACACCGGCCGCCTTAACCCTCCCCGCGGCACCGGGACGGGCCCGCCCCGCTGCGGAGGTGCCSGTCCCGAGCCCGCTGCGGCCCCGAACCCCCCCACACTCTTCGTTTCTGCCCGCCGTCGGGCAGCCCGTCCCGCCGCGGCTCTCACCGAAGGTGCGGCGCTGCTTGAAGCTCTTCTCCGAGGGCATGGCGGCGGAGGGCGGCTCGGCGCGGGCCCGGCGGCGGCT